TGTCCCCAGCCCTGGTTGGGTCTTGCGGGTGGCAGCCACTCGATGTGTCCCTTTCACATCGATGTTTCTCTCTCTTTTTTCCTCTCCCTCCAGCTCTATCTGAATAAAAAATGGAAGAATGTCCTAGGGTGAGGATTAAAAAAAAAAAGAGCATGATTTGTGCCCTGGCGGGTTTGGCTCAGCGGTTAGAGTGTTGGCCTGCAGACCAGAGAATCCTGGGTTCGGTACCTGCTAAGGGCACGTACCTTGGTTGCAGTTTGTCCTCAGCCCTGGTTGGAGTCGTGTAGGTGGCAAACACTCAATGTGTCTCTCTCACATCGATGTTTCTCTCTCTCCCTTCCCCTCTCCTTCCTGCTCGGACGATAAATGCAAAAAAAATAAAAAAGATTCAGGCTGGAGTGGACTGTAGAGATAACCTGCTTCCACCCCTTCATTTCCTCCACAAGGAGGCAGCCATTGAGACATTGGGAGACTTCCCCAGGGGCCCCTGTGTGGCCCCCTTACATGCTACCTGCCTTTGTTCACCTTCTCTTTAGAAAGGAGAGCATCGGGCTCAGATGGCATTCCCGGGACAGGCAGAGGAAGCTGCGCTGAGCTTCCAGCCTGCAGCGTGTGGGGATGCAGTCCCGCTGCCCACTGCACCCAGCCGCACCCTGCCGCACCCAGCCGCACCCTGCCGCAGCCTGCCGCAGCCTGCCGCAGCCTGCCGCACCCAGCCGCAGCCTGCCGCACCCAGCCGCACCCTGCCGCACCCAGCCGCACCCAGCCGCACCCTGCCGCAACCCGCCGCACCCTGCCGCACCCTGCCGCAGCCTGCCGCACCCTGCCGCACCCAGCCGCACCCCGCCGCACCCTGCCGCACCCTGCCGCACCCTGCCGCAACCCGCCGCACCCTGCCGCACCCTGCCGCACCCTGCCGCACCCAGCCGCACCCTGCCACACCCTGCCGCACTCAGCCGCACCCTGCCGCACCCTGCCGCAACCCGCCGCACCCTGCCGCACCCTGCCGCACCCAGCCGCACCCAGCCGCACCCTGCCGCACCCTGCCGCACTCAGCCGCACCCAGCCGCACCCTGCCACACCCTGCCGCACTCAGCCGCACCCAGACGCACCCTGCCGCCGCACTGTGGACACGCCGGCCGGCAGCAAAGCGCCTCGGGAAACCTAGAGCGATAGTGTCCTGGCTGGATCCTGAGTGTCTGGAGCGCTCAGCACAGGGAGGAGGGAAGACAAGGAGCATTTGGGGTCGCCAAGTATATGTTTTGTTCTCAAGGACTCTGTTGGGATCTTAAGGCTTCTTTCAGGTTTACGGTTGTAACACAAATAAGTAAGAACAAACTGGTTCGCATACTCACAACTGTAAACCTACGTTTGCCCACTTTTGTATGTATGTGACTATGGGGGTCTGTACTCTGCCTTGTCTTGATGCAGCAGTTTATATGCAGCAAGACAGACCAGGGTTACAGATCTATTTTATCTTACATGTAATTTAATATTTTATTCTCTGTGTGTGTGTGAATGGGTGCGCAGGATGGACCGGGTCCAGGCACAGGGACCTGAGGGCTCCGGGAGATGCCACGTGCTCAGGGAAGGCCTCTGGAATCTGCGTTTTTGCTCACGGAGCCCACGGACAGGGTCTGGGATGCAATAGGAGGAAACAGAGGTTTGGCGAGATGGACTCATGGCAACCAAGTCCCACCTGTCTGTCCGCAGCATAGAAGGATCAGCACCACTGCCCCCTCTCCATTTCCCCGGCTCCTGCGGCTGCCACCTGTCTGCTTCCCATCGAGGCCACAGCGCCAGCTCTGGATGGAGGAAGTGGTGGCGCCGTGTGGCCGCGCCCCTCTCGGGAGCCAGGCGCTCGCAGTCACTCCTGTGGTCCCCTCCGCAGCCGTATGAGTTTGGCGATGATTTCTTAGCGTGCAGTTAAGGAGTCTTCACTCAGAGAGGTTAAAAATTGTCCTGGGGTCACCCAAGTCCTCGCCGCACTGCTGGGGAAACTGAGGCTCGGATCAGCACCACCCAGGCCTCCTCCGCAGCCCCTCCCACCCCAGGAGCTCACCTGGGCCAGGCGGGAGGCGGCTGCAGGGGGACGCATGGGGGCCTCGCCTCCTGCCTGACAGGCAGAAGATAAACAGCTTCCCGTTAAATCTCGCTTAAAGCTGATATTTATAAATTTATTCAGCTGTGTTTACTGAATCGCGAGAATGCCTAATAACATAACGTGCTTCATCTCACATGTTCCTACTAATGAGAATGCAAGTATTGCTTAATTTTTTTTAACATTTCATTTGCTTTTCTCTCCCTCCATCTCCTCCTGTTGTTGTTGGCTTGAGTTTTAATCTGTTACCAAATTCTGAAAAGTTTGGCCTTTGGGCTTTAGTAAGGAGAAGGCCTGGGACCCTCGCGGGGCTGAGCCCTGTTCCCACGGGCTCTTTGCCCCCTGACTTCGGTGCCCGTGGGGTCAGGGTGCTGAAGGGAAGAAGCACGCTGATGGGGGAACAAACGTCTCCCCTATTTTCTGCTGCAGTTGGTAGAAGCTGAATAGTTTGGGTCAGAGTTACAGTATTTTGGGGTTTTAGGGACAGGGAACCTAAGGCAGCGGGCAGGGAGCGAGTGTCCTTGGCGTGGAGAGACAAGGGGGATGCCAGAATGACCGTGGACATGTGGGGTTTTGGTGCAGTGTGTGCGTGCGTGTGTGTGCATGTGTGTGTGTTAGAGACAGAGATAGAGAATGAGAAGAGACTCCACTTCTACCTCAGTTTGATCTGTTGAGTTTGTTAACATAAAGGTCTTGCATGGAACAGACGGACAGATCTCGGGGGCGGGGAGGGACAGGAACAGTTTAGCCAAAGAACATATATGCACATATGCAGAGCCCGTGGACACAGGCAGGGGTTGGATGGAAAGGGGGGAGGAGGGAGAAAATGGAGGGCATCTATAATATTGTCCAAAAATTTTTTTAAAAAGGTCTTCCCCTTGCTGCTTACCCCACTCGTTAGCTGTGCTAGCCACTAACTCTGGGCAGTCTTCAGCTGGCCAGGAAGAGCCCAAACCAGGGCTGGGAGAGAGGTCAAGAGCTCATCAGGCTCAGGAGGGTCCCTGAGGGGCGAGGACGGGGCGGCCTGGTCTGTGCTGGGCTTCCTTGGGGCTGGGTGGGTGGGAGGGGCAGCTGGCGGCAAGCTGCCGGGTGTGCCTTGGGGGGAGGGCACCGGGCTGAAGTCTGGGATCGGGAGCTGGGGCGGGGTGGGGCGGGACCAGGAGGGGGTGGTGGGCACGGAGAACAGAGGGAAGGGGGACAGGACCTGGGATGAGGAAGTGGGAAGAAAGATGAGATGGAGTCCGCCCTCGGCCCCAAGCGGCTGCTCTCTGTTCTCTTCCAGCCTCGTGGGATCCTCACATGTAGGTGTTTTCTATTTCTTCTCTCTTCCGAGCAACATGGAACTAAAACGTTTTTTAATTTTAATTTTAAAAAATGTATGACCTTAAATGTGAGAGTCGAATGGAATAATTTGCCTTCCCTGTCGAACCCCCTACGTGTGCCAACAAAGGGAGTGGTGACCCTGGCTTACCCGCCGGTCGCCCCTGCGGTCTCTGTGGTGCCAGAGGAGAGGCCTTGAGAAGGACACCAGCATCTGGCCCTGACCCCTCTGACCTTGGACGAGCCACGGCCTCTGTGGGCCTCATGACCTGGAGTGTTGGACCTTCTGGTTCTGTTCTGTGTGCAGGTTCTGGTCCGGGTGTTTCTCGCTGGGCGGGCAGAGCAGGGCCGGCCTGGTGTGGGTGGTGGCTGTTCTGAGAACGGCACTGACTACTTTTCTTTCCTTCCGGACGCAGAACGAGGCTCTCTTCCCTGGGCCTGGCATTTTAGGGGGGCCATGGCTTTTGGATTATCCAGGAAGCCTGGACCCCCATGGGAACCCAGGAGACGGGAGTCTGGGGCAAGGATGGAGCCTGCAGCTGAATGTCGGGGGCCCAGTTTCTCCCCAGGGCGGGAGTGGACCCAGCACCAGGTTCCAGTTCTGCCCATCAGTGGACTGTTCCTGGTGTCGTCCTCTCCCTGTCTGGACATCAGTGTCCCTGTCCAGGTGGTCATTAAATGACCACGCAAACCTCTCCAGCTCTGTCTGTGGCCTGGGCAGCCCTAAGCCTTGGTGTCCTCACCTGTACCGCCAAGACCCAAGGGTTCCCTGGGCCAGCACATCCTGTCCATCTCACTGCTTCCCTGCGGGGCTGGGGACAAGCAGGTGGCAGGGATATCGGGGCGTTTGACGAATTTGAGGAGTAGAGAAGCCCCAAGCTCAGCCTCTGCTACCTCCTCCTGCTCTCCCCACAAAATTCAGTCCTCTCCCCTGCAGCCCACGTCCCGTCCACATGCACCCCTCTGAGGCCCGTCAGGGTGCTCGGCCGTCCCCTGCAGCCCACGTCCCGTCCACATGCACCCCTCTGAGGCCCGTCAGGGTGCTCGGCCGTCCCCTGCAGCCCACGTCCCGTCCACATGCACCCCTCTGAGGCCCGTCAGGATGCTCGGCCGTCCCCTGCAGCCCACGTCCCGTCCACATGCACCCCTCTGAGGCCCGTCAGGATGCTCGGCCATCCCCTGCAGCCCACGTCCCGTCCACATGCACCCCTCTGAGGCCCGTCAGGGTGCTCGGCCGTCCCCTGCAGCCCACGTCTCGTCCACATGCACCCCTCTGAGGCCCGTCAGGATGCTCGGCCGTCCCCTGCAGCCCACGTCCCGTCCACATGCACCCCTCTGAGGCCCGTCAGGGTGCTCGGCCGTCCCCTGCAGCCCACGTCCCGTCCACATGCACCCCTCTGAGGCCCGTCAGGATGCTCGGCCGTCCCCTGCAGCCCACGTCCCGTCCACATGCACCCCTCTGAGGCCCGTCAGGGTGCTCGGCCATCCCCTGCAGCCCACGTCCCGTCCACATGCACCCCTCTGAGGCCCGTCAGGGTGCTCGGCCGTCCCCTGCAGCCCACGTCCCATCCACATGCACCCCTCTGAGGCCCATCAGGGTGCTCGGCCATCCCCTGCTCCTCCAGGTTCTGCAGCAGCAGCAGCAGCAGCAGCAGCAGCAGGAACTTCCTCTTGACACCCCCCTGTGGGCCCAGTGCTGTTTGGGGTTCCCCAGGGAGGAGGGGGAGGAGCACCGGGGCTCATCCCTCTCTTTTGTGTTGCTTCTCCCTCCCACTTCCGCTCCCTGCACTGCTCCCGGTGACCTTTCACCCCTCCCTCGGATGTCCTTCAAAGGCAGCTCCTGGGGTTAATAACTTTGGCTGGCAGCCCCACACAAAGCCAGGGCCCGGAACCATTGTCTGGAGGACAATGGCCGAGCAGCCCAATAATGAGGCCTCCGCAGTGTTGTCTGACGTCCTACGTTGCCCTGGCGAAGGAGGAGGGGCGCGGGGCTGCCCTGCCCTCGCCTCCTGCAGATGAATTATTCCCCTCGCCCATGGTGGGTCCTCCTGAGGGGGCACCAGGCTCCTGCACCCTCCAATCAGCCACTCTGTACGCCGGCGGACATCACCCGAGACACCCCGACACACATACCGCTCTCAACTCACGTTCTGCGCTCCTGTTCCAGGTGGGGGCACCTCACAGTTTAGTGCCTGGTTCTGGCAAAGCGGCAGGTGGGGAGATCTCAGCACGCCACCTGACGGCAGGCTTGTGGCACTTTCTGGAGCCAGCCTGAACTCTTCCCTTCCTGGCTGTGTGACCTGGGGAAGCTGGGCAACCTCTCTGAGCCTCTGCTTAAGTCAGGGTGGGCGGGAACCAGGAGGAGGGCTCTCAACCTCGGGACAGCCATGCCCTGGCCACTCTGTGGGTGACGAGGACTCCTCCAGCTGTGGGGGTGGCCCTTCCTCAGTTATAATCTAACTTCTTTTCATGCAGGCCCCTGCCTGGTGTCCCAGACCAGACTGTAAGTTACTCAGGGACATACCGGGTCACATGCTGTCTGCACTCTGCTGGGCACTCGGGGTCCCGATGAAGCCACAGGGAGGGGTTGCTGAGGCTCCGGAGTGTCCTCAGGCCTGCCGTCCACTGGAATTACCTGGAGAGGCTTAAAGCTACCCAGAAATTGTGACCTAATTGGCATGGACTGTGTGTGTGTGGGTGTGTGTGTGTGGCAGGTGGGAATATTTTGCCATGCAGGTAAAGGAACCCTGATTTGTACCCTCAGAGCACCTGCCACCTCTCATCTGTGCCTGGGCACAGCCCTTCTTCAGGGGGAGAGACGACTCTGATGACTTCCTTGATGTCCTTGAACACAGCGTTCTCTTTACTGCTGCTTTGTGCTAAGAAAATGATTTCGGTGTAGCGAGGGTTTTCTTTTTAAATCAACCATGCTGAGAGATAATATAAATATATTAAAATGTGTGAGTTTTGACAGATATCTGCATCTAGATAACTACTGCTTCAGTCAACGTGCGGGCTAAGCTGTCACCCCAGAAAGGCCCCGTGAACACGAGGCTTCCCAGCGTCCGGGGTGGTTGTGTGGCGCAGCAGTCTGACCCCGGCCTGGCCGCCTCAGCTGCAGCCACCGACTGGCTGTGCAGGGCGAGCTCCGCCCCCCTCCGCGTGCGCAGCGTCGCTGTCGCCGGGGGATCAGCTGAAAGGTGGTCCTGCCCAGGCTGTGCCTGGGACCCTGCATTCCTAGGCAGCTCAGCCACACTTCCAGGCTCCTAGTCTCTTGTTTGCAGATGAGGGAACGGAGGCTCAGAGCTGGAATGTGGGCAGCTTGCAAACCCTGGTCCTGAGCTCCTGGCCAAATGACCATTGCGCCCCATTGTCCTCCAATCCTTCTTTTTTTGATCTCTGCCCAGACTATAAATCCCGCAAGAGGTAGGAGCATATTAACCCCTCCGGCTCTTTCCTTCTGAGTGTTTCTGCACCCCCCACCTGCCCTGCACCCACATGAGTCACTCTCGGGGAAAGGACCCCTTCCTCTGCCTGTTTCTGAAAGAACTGCCAACTCCTATCAACATCTGCCTCCCCTGGCCCACTCTTGTCCTCACTGCGTGTTGATTCAACCGGATGACCTAGTGTTTATGAAACAAGCGCTGGGTGGGGTAAGGTAAACCAGAGCTGTGATGAAGTTAATCGGATGCAGTTGCATAATAGGTTATGTGGGCAGGGAGAGACCTTGGCCGCCCAGCTCAGTCCCCTGGTTTTACAGAGAGCCCCCCACGCCCCGCCCCAGCCCCAGGTTCCAGCGAGGACCAGGCAGAACCCACTTCCAGGAGGAGCAGGGGTGTGAGGAGGACCCAGAGAAAACTGTGGGGGAGGCAGAAGAAAGGGCGGGCGTCGTGGCCGGGGGAGGGGAGACGCTGCTGTGGAACAGAACCTCTTTTCACAGAGGAGCTGGGGAGGAGGTCCGGGGACGTGGCTGTCCACACAGCGGGCATAGCCTCACTGCCAGGACTCCAGTGTGGTTCTCCTCCATCCCATCCCTCTGAGCACCGTGCGTGGGGTCCCCCGGGGAGCACCACGAGGCGTGCGCCTGGGTGGTCTGAGGGTCAGCCCTGAGCCCTGGAGATGCCTGGATTAGAGAAGAGGAGAGAAGGTGTTTGGTCTGGGGCTTGGGGACCATGTTCAGAGTTGGTGAGTCCTGTGGAATTTCAGGAGAAGCAGGTTCCACTTCAGCCTCGGGAAGAACTGGGTTCTAACACCCATCCTGAGACTAAGCCGCTGGGGAGAGAGGCTTTTCAGTCCCGGGACGTGGACAGCAGAGATCGGATGAGGACAGACACGTCAGACGTCCAAGCCTCCTGCCCACTCCCCAGAGTCCACCGGGGAAACCAGTCACCCCAGCGGCCTCGGGTCCGTCCCCAGAGCAAGTTCCCCTGGGGCTACCGTCTGGGCTGTGTGACGCTCCACACCAAGGACCTGGCCAGGACAGGAACACAGGTGGCAGTGCAGGCTGAGGAGCGAGCACGGCAACGGGTTCCGTCGGGCTGCCTCTGGGGAGTCTTCACGTGTCTGAGAACGGGTCTGGACTTTCAGCAAGAGGCTGGCGCCAAGGATATAGAACTGAGAGTTAAAACAGCGGAGTGAGACCTGCCCTGGGAGGTCACGGGGCCCCAGAGGCTGGGGTTGAATGTCTCATAAGGTTCAGTGAGGGGAGTTGGCCATGACCGGCCCCGGGAGTCGGCTCAGCCCTGCCCCGGCCAGCTGTGTGTCCTTGGCTACACTAAGGGTACGTTCCTCTTGCACATCACGGTGAGATTGGCCGCAAGGTATTTAAGGTTTCTCCCAGCTTAGATACACTAGAATTAGTTCATCCAAATTCCCACCCGGCAGTGGAATCGGGGCTGAGCGGGACCACCTCAGGGGAGCGGGGGTCAGGGTCCAGCAGAGTCCGCTGTGGTTTCCTGCAGACGCCCTGAGCCAAGGGGACAGAGGACCACAGGTCGATCTGAGGCAGGGAAGAAAACACTGGCTTGTTCCCGGCTCCTTCAGTCCAGCACTGAGGAAGCTTTGCCAGCCTGCCTGCCCGCTGTCTGCCAGGCACCAGGAGCGTCCCCACGGGCCCCTGCAGGTTGCCTGGCCTGTGTTCCACGAAGCAGGAACAACTGCTAGGTCACTGTGCAGATGGGAGGTGAGCCGCCAGCTGTCTTGGGAGCAAACTCATAAGGAGCTGCCCGTCTGCAATCCGCTCCCGGCCAAATGAGGGGGCGAGATTCCAGTCCCGCAGAACAGCCCACGGGCTGGTTCACCCCACACGGCGCCTGCCCCTGCCCTCTGATGGGAAGGCACAGCTTCTCCCGTGGCTGGCTGCATGGACAGGGAGGGAACAGCAGCTCACAGTCTGGCTCCAGCAAGTCGGTATGTTGCTCTAGCTGCGTAGTTCATCTCTGCAGCTCAGGTCTTCACCCTGGAAAGAGCACAGACCTCCGCAAGAGCGCCCTCGAGGACCCTCTGGCCAGGAGACCTGAAGGAGGCTGGGTGCATGCAGCCTTCAAGATGGAAAAGCCAGGATGCAAACCCCCTCTTCCCCGGACCCCCAGGCTGCTCTCCCTCTGATTCACACTGGCCCAGAGCCTGTCTTAACCCGCACCCTACTCAGTGGAGTTCCCACATTCGCCGAACCCTTGGCCATCTCTGCACGAGAGGGGTAGTCCCAACACTAACGAGTGACTGTGGGTTTACTTATGGGAGGTACTTTCTCTGGCAACCGCACAGAGCTGTCAGTAAACATCTTCCCCGCTGGTGGACAGGACAGGAAGAGTATGGATAACACTTGGGTGAGTGGCTCTCTCCAGGGAAGGCTGACACCTGGGAATGGAGTCCTCCAGCCTGTAAGAGGGGTCGGGTGATGAGGACAGGGTCCACCAAAGTGACCTGCAGTGTTGTCCTGGGACTAAATAGAGTGATCGGAATGCATGTACCACACAGGGACAAGGACAGAGAAGGTGCCATTGACGTCAGCGCCTTCCTCTTCCCACCTCTCAGTTCTTGTTAGGAAACCTCTGCCCGACTTTCAGGCAAACCTACGGGAGCAGGATCCCAGACCTCAGAGGCCGCAGGGGCCAGGGGGCAGGACCTCACTGGACACCTGGCCTGGCCAAGTTGCCGTGGGCATGGAGGATGTGCGTGTGTGTGAGAGTGTGTGTGTGTGAGTGTGAGTGTGTGTGTGTGAGTGTGTGTGCATGTGCGTGTGTGTGTGCACTCTCTGCCAAATCATCGCTGAGGTCCCCAGGACAGGAACCATGTGTAATCATTCATTCTCTTTTGCCAAGTTTGTTGACAAGATTTAAATATATTTGTCATTGATTTGATTCAAAACATGCTACACAGCATACCCACTTCAGAGGAAGAGATTAACTGGTGCAGTGGGGATACAATAACCAAGCACACAGTTACTCTAAGACCTCGACGCGACCACATGTATGTAAGTGCCATGCACTGGGCAGCTGAAAGAGTCCCCATGAAGGCCTCCTGAAAGTCCTCACAGTGTGAAGCACAAACCATACGGATGACATTACTGTGGTGTGTGGAGGGGCATGAGGCTGACACAGTACTAGGCACAGCCACCTTGTGCCAGGTATGAATACGCTGGGTTTTCCTTAATCCTGAGAACACTGCATGGTGGGCACTGTCCTGTCCCCTCATACAGGTCAGGATCCTGCATGGTGGGCACTGTCCTGTCCCCTCACACAGATCAGAACCTGCATGGTGGGCACTGTCCTGTCCCCTCACACAGATCAGAACCTGCATGGTGGGCACTGTCCTGTCCCCTCACACAGATCAGAACCTGCACGGTGGGCACTGTCCTATCCCCTCACACAGATCAGAACCTGCACGGTGGGCACTGTCCTATCCCCTCACACAGATCAGAACCTGCAGGGTGGGCACTGTCCTATCCCCTCACACAGGTCAGGATCCTGCATGGTGGGCACTGTCCTATCCCCTCACACAGATCAGAACCTGCATGGTGGGCACTGTCCTGTCCCCTCACACAGATAAGAACCTGCATGGTGGGCACTGTCCTGTCCCCTCACACAGATCAGAACCTGCACGGTGGGCACTGTCCTATCCCCTCACACAGATCAGAACCTGCAGGGTGGGCACTGTCCTATCCCCTCACACAGGTCAGGATCCTGCATGGTGGGCACTGTCCTATCCCCTCACACAGATCAGAACCTGCATGGTGGGCACTGTCCTATCCCCTCACACAGATCAGAACCTGCAGGGTGGGCACTGTCCTATCCCCTCACACAGGTCAGGATCCTGCACGGTGGGCACTGTCCTATCCCCTCACACAGGTCAGAACCTGCACGGTGGGCACTGTCCTGTCCCCTCACACAGATCAGAACCTGCACGGTGGGCACTGTCCTATCCCCTCACACAGATCAGAACCTGCACGGTGGGCACTGTCCTATCCCCTCACACAGATCAGAACCTGCACGGTGGGCACTGTCCTATCCCCCCACACAGATCAGAACCTGCATGGTGGGCACTGTCCTATCCCCTCACACAGGTCAGGATCCTGCACGGTGGGCACTGTCCTGTCCCCTCACACAGATCAGAACCTGCACGGTGGGCACTGTCCTATCCCCTCACACAGATCAGAACCTGCACGGTGGGCACTGTCCTGTCCCCTCACACAGATCAGAACCTGCACGGTGGGCACTGTCCTATCCCCCCACACAGATCAGAACCTGCATGGTGGGCACTGTCCTATCCCCTCACACAGGTCAGGATCCTGCATGGTGGGCACTGTCCTATCCCCTCACACAGATCAGAACCTGCATGGTGGGCACTGTCCTGTCCCCTCACACAGATCAGAACCTGCATGGTGGGCACTGTCCTATCCCCTCACACAAATCAGAACCTGCATGGTGGGCACTGTCCTGTCCCCTCACACAGATCAGAACCTGCATGGTGGGCACTGTCCTATCCCCTCACACAGGTCAGGATCCTGCACGGTGGGCACTGTCCTATCCCCTCACACAAATCAGAACCTGCATGGTGGGCACTGTCCTGTCCCCTCACACAGATCAGAACCTGCATGGTGGGCACTGTCCTATCCCCTCACACAGATCAGAACCTGCATGGTGGGCACTGTCCTGTCCCCTCACACAGGTCAGGATCCTGCACGGTGGGCACTGTCCTATCCCCTCACACAGGTCAGAACCTGCATGGTGGGCACTGTCCTATCCCCTCACACAGGTCAGAACCTGCATGGTGGGCACTGTCCTAACCCTCACACAGATCAGAACCTGCACGGTGGGCACTGTCCTATCCCCTCACACAGGTCAGAACCTGCATGGTGGGCACTGTCCTATCCCCTCACACAGGTCAGAACCTGCATGGTGGGCACTGTCCTATCCCCTCACACAGGTCAGAACCTGCATGGTGGGCACTGTCCTGTCCCCTCACACAGATCAGAACCTGCACGGTGGGCACTGTCCTGTCCCCTCACACAGATCAGAACCTGCACGGTGGGCACTGTCCTATCTGCTCTCACAGATCAGGAACCTGCATGGTGGGCACTGTCCTGTCCCCTCACACAGATCAGAACCTGCATGGTGGGCACTGTCCTGTCCCCTCACACAGATCAGAACCTGCATGGTGGGCACTGTCCTATCCCCTCACACAGGTCAGGATCCTGCACGGTGGGCACTGTCCTGTCCCCTCACACAGATCAGAACCTGCATGGTGGGCACTGTCCTATCCCCTCACACAGGTCAGGATCCTGCACGGTGGGCACTGTCCTGTCCCCTCACACAGATCAGAACCTGCATGGTGGGCACTGTCCTGTCCCCTCACACAGATCAGGAACCTGCATGGTGGGCACTGTCCTATCTCCTCACACAGATCAGAACCTGCACGGTGGGCACTGTCCTATCCCCTCACACAGATCAGAACCTGCATGGTGGGCACTGTCCTGTCCCCTCACACAGGTCAGAACCTGCATGGTGGGCACTGTCCTGTCCCCTC